ATGGAGTAAGATAACTGTCCAAAAAAAATCACATGCATAATTGTCTTAATTTGTAACTGTAAGTCGATAATGTCAGTTAATGTAGGATTTGTATTTGTTCCCTGTTGTCAAGACAGATACTTGAGATCAGATTTTCATCTGTAAAATACCTGCTTAAAGTTACAACTTTGCAAAAAATGGAATAACGAATTATAAATGTACAGGTGGGATTCTCCAACCCCTAATGAAGCTCTTACACTTCTTGAGTTGGTGGTAGTGCATCTGAAGAGGAGGAAGACGATGACAGAAGGGACCATAAATCTAACATTACACTGAGCATGAGTATTCAAAACAAAGATTCAGCAAAGATATGTTATTGTGGATGTGTTCCATTTTAGCAGCTGCTGCCTCCAAAGCCTCGTTCTACCCGGACTGCGTCCTTGGAGGTCTGTGAAAATAAGGATGCCGGAAGACTTTTGGCCATTTATTCAAATAGTTTCATCCTTCTCTGGCTTTTATCACCAGTATGCTCTGTCACCTAGCAACCATGACAATTGACAGACAAAGCAGGCAAAGAATGGATACTGAACTTCTCACTGGAGTTCTGGGTGCTAATAACATTGCTGAGGAGCTTCAACAGTGGTACGGGCATCTTAGATATCAGATTTATAGTCCCCCGCCCTGCAGAGATATTAGAATCTGAGCTTAAATTACAGCCAAACCCATTTACACAGGGATAGATAAAACCTTTAGATAAACCAAACATTACCGCCACATATCTGACTCAATAACCATTAAAACAACTATTTTCATTCATTTCAGACGGAACTATTCACAGACTTGGATTATATTAAACTGAACTTCCAATTTTCACCACTGTTTGGCGCCTTTTTCCTCTGAGCACGGAGCAGCCGGCTTGCTTTGCACTCACAATGAATCCTGGTCAGGAGAATAACAGCTTTATCAGAGCTCTGTACTCGTAAATGTGACTCGTAATAGCAGTTTGCGTTTTGGACTCGTAAATTTGTGATTTTTTCTTCGTCTTGTAAATTTGTGATTAATAATATTTTTGTATCTTTGTAAAATTGTACCTATGTAACATGTATTTTTGTATTGTATTTTTACTGATGAAAACCTGACAATGAGGAACAAATACAAATCCTAAATTTATTCAGTTGTACTGACTTTCTTTTAAAAATGCAGACACCTGTGCTTACCTTTTATTGACCGTTATCTTACTCCATATTTCTGTAAGTCACACTGAGTTTGAACAGTCTGTCTGTCCCCAGTATCACTATGCAGTGGACTGGTGAGGATACTGTCCCTGTTTACCGGAGTCAACGTTTCCCCCAGCTTGCCCAGGAGGGCCAGGCAGACCGTCCTTTCCTGGTGCTCCTACTTCACCGGGGTAACCTTTAGGACCAATTGGCCCTGGTGGCCCCGGGTCCCCTTTGTCCCCTTTCAGTCTTAGCAGGATGACTGGGTCTTCTGGGCCATCCAACCTGTGAGCTGAGGACAAAATCAAACCAATGAAGACAATTTTAATGCGAAAATTAAAACAATCACATCAAACTTTGCATTTATGATCATTTTTAGTCATCAAGTAATTTGTTCTTTTACTCTCTAAAACCTCCTAAAGGGCACAGCCTGAAAACTGCAACAATTTTTAGCTTTATTTGTTATCTACAGCAGCGTTGAACAAGTCTTTTCCTGGGAATTTAAGCTTGGTTTGTTCTGGACACAATGTCTGCGCAAACATTAGAGGTTTCTACGCAACATCCAGGATTTCTGCTCCTACTGGCGAGAATTCGCAATTGTAAACGTTTGGAGATCTTGTAAATCAGCTCATAAACACACCCCTACGGACAGATGGTGGAAAAACTCAAGGGAAGAAATGACTATCGCTCTTGGATGGCATGAAGAGGCCTTGATAGCGTAGTAAACAGCTGTATTTTCTACTTCCTTGTGAATTGTGGGGTTTTCCTGAACACTGCGATCAAAATGGGAGAAAAGCCGCACAGAGTATCGATGATGCAGATGTTTTTGCAGCTCGGATTGTACAGTAGTAGCCATTCAGAATTTCCCTACTTTCCTGGATGGGTCCTTGGCTGATTCCTTACAATTCTTTTTTAAACATCAATCTTTGTACGAAAATATTCTTTCTGTCATGATTTGTGGACATTAAGATCTAAAGAGAAGCGCCTTCTACTGGTCAGACCCTGTAATTCAGAGAGAGTCAGAGTAAACAAATATCCACACCTATGAGAAAGAGACGGGGTCGCTCCAGTGGCTTTAAGTTGGCTTCCATTTGAATGGGAAGGGACATTTTGAATGGCTGCTACTGTACGCTCTTTAGTTTCCTGCAACTCTTAGATGCATTTCTTCTCCAACATTTGTCACTGGGAGAAGTTAAAGCACTGGGCAACACAGGTCAGACAACTATGAACCCCTATTCACACCTAAGCGCAGCAAAGAGAGACCAGCTAACTAAAAAACTGCGTTTTTACAGTTCACACATGGGGGAGTAGAGACAAAAGGGAATCTGCTCCCCTCTGCAGATCATGGGGCTCAGATACATTTGCAAAAGACATTTGCTGCTTTTAAAAAATGGTTAAAGTCTCAACTTGGAGCAGTTTGGTTCAGCAATTTGTTTAAAGAGAGGTGGAATAAATTCATAAAGTCACATAAGAGCCCAATCTTCATAACAGCGCATCATAAAATCAAATAAGCAGAACCATCTTATTCTGTTTGGAGGGAATTTAGTTCTATTATTGATGCAAGAAAAGAGCATAATTTTAAATGGAAATGTGATAAAAAGGCTATCCAGAAATTGGACTCTAATAAACTTCTCAATAAAAAAAAAATGTTTTCTTTTAAAACAGAATATATTTTCTATATTCAAATGTTTTACACATTTTTCAATCTTTTTATCAATTTATGTTTCAAAATGTTTTTTTTTTTTCAAATTTGTATTTTTGAAATAGAAATTTATGATTTTCTTTCTTTACCAATTGTTTTTTCCAGATCACATTATTATCTTCCCTTCTGGGGGCGGGCTTTCCTGCTGTGGGAGGAGCGAAGATGCATTTCTATTGGTCTGCTGGACGTTAGCAACATTTTTATTGGTCAAGAGTTGTTAACGGGCTGTAACTTAAAAATGGTAAAAAGATACGGGATCTGAAAATTAGAAATTTGAAAAAACTAAATTTAATAAATGAAAGTTTGAAAAAACAGGAATGAAAGTATAATGTCTTATACAATGTTATTCAAAAAATAAAAATGTATATATAAAAAAATAAAAGCAAACTTCAAAGTTTCTCTGGAAACTTTTTTGCATTGATTGCAAAATGCGTTCTTTGCGATTATAACGGAAATGGAATTTACTCCATAGATCTGTAAACATGCAGAAGGATGTTACCTGGCTCTCCCTTCTGCCCTTTCATCCCAGGCAATCCATCACGTCCACCAGATCCTCCTTCTCCCGGACGACCATCCAGCCCCTTACAGTTCACATTGCATTCGACGGCCGACAGCAACGAAGCCACGCCGAACAGAACTGCGAATCCAACATAAGCTCCCATGGCCTGAAAACGCTGCAGAAAAGAAAACCAAAGAAGGAGAAACACTGAGCTGGAGATGATGACGATGATTAGAGACAAACAGATGATATCAAGAAGAAGCATGAAGGAGAATAAAACGTTTTAATTTCCTGTGAAAGTGAAATTTTTAAAAATCATTTCTATAAAAACTTAAAGATAAAACTGGTGAAGAACAGAAGCATAAACATCCATCATGTTTTTACCTAACCTATGATTCAGGACCAATACAGTTGATGTGAGCTGCAAAAACATCAGTTTATACACTGGAAAAAATCCAAATCTAGATAAGTCATTTTTTCTTAAAATAAGTGCATTTGTTCTTGGATTGAGGAGATAAAAGAGACATTTTACCAATGGAACAAGACCATTTAGATTTAAAATAAGAAAACACAATTGCATTATCTCATTTCAAGTGCATATCATCTAATTATCTTATTTTAAGACTAAAAACATTCATTCCATAAGCAAACTATTGCATTTACCTGCTCAAATTAAGGGTAAAAACACTTAATCTAAGACTTTTTTACTTCTTTTTAGATTGTTTGTGCAGTGTAATGATTAAACACTAACAAGTACAAAGTCTTTCCTAAATTATCACCCAAAAAGTCATTTTTTGCTAAAATAGAATTAGAATTCCTGTTAGAAAGAAAGCAAATAAGCAAACATACAGAAATGTTACTCTTTAAAATTGAGAAAAATGTATTTTTTGATGTAAAATGAACTAATCCTGCACTGTAAAAAAAGAAATCTAGATAAGTCATTTTTTTCTTAAA